CATTTGGCTCCTCTACCTCTTGAGCGCCAGAGAGTAAGGGTAGCATTAGCATTGTGAGTAAACATTAGCTTTTCTTTTGTTTTCAGTAAGAGGTTTTTATTTAATAGAATTTTTGGACCAAAAAAATCGCAATATAATCGCCTTGTTTACAGTATCGCAATATATCGGGATATATCGTATCGTGACCCCTCTGTCATGACCGTATCGCCAAATTCTTACCAATACACAGCCCTATTAATAAGTTGTGTCAGACCCTTTATGCTATGGTTTTGTTGTTTTATCAATTTATTAACTTGACACAAAATCACAATCAAAATCGATTAACAAAACTGTATTAACGTTACGGTGATTAAATAATTGTTTGCATTAAAATAATAAATTTTGTTTCTAATTGCCTATTTTTGTTGATGCCTGTTTCTTTGTGCACACTGAAGTCCTTCGTGTCCAAAAATGGTGGAAAAAATGTTTTGTGGTTTCACATTTCTTCACTGAAATTGTGTTACGGTGATGAATTTATTTCCTCTGAGTCAGAATAAAAAGTTTAAAATACCTTTAAAATGTGCATAGAGGTTATTATTTTACACTGCAAAGTAAAATTAGATCCTATTTTATTAAAAGGGTGGGTTTTTGTGTGTATACAATATTTTTTTAATTTTTGACATGAGTTGTACCAGGTTTGTGAGAATGACCCAAAGTAAAGTTTAGCAGGCAGTGGGTGATATGCATTCATCAGAGAACTGCAGCTTTAATCTACAGAAAGTGAGATAAAATGACAGCTCACAACATATCTGTTTATCAACAAACAGTGTTTTCATTTCTGTTGTAATTTATTTAAATGCTGCTTCTATTGTTTTAAAATCAGCTCTATTTTACTCAACAACTGGTTTTAATTTCAGTAAAATGATTAATCTGTTGTTCAAAAACAAAGACAGGTTAGTGGTCATTATTATATGTTTATTTATCTGGGTTGCATTCAATAAATGAACAGATTACAGAAAACTGTTTGATTTTGTTTTCAATCAGCTGATGTTGTTTATAATAGATTTTATTAGACAAATTCTTTTGGACATGAATTTACTGTTGATGTTTTCCAGGTTTAAGTAGTAATAAATAATAATCTCTGCTGTTTTTAATGAATCAGTTTCCTTTTTTGGTTTTAATCATTATGATTGACACGGTTAGCATTAGCATCTAATCTGTCAAACTGTCCTGTTTACATGTTATAAAGACACTTATTAAAGAAGACATTTAACAGAAGACTCTCTCACCTGTCATGTAATTAGTCCACTTGTATAAAATCCCCTCCATGGTTTGTTTAGATGAGGCTAACGCTGCAGCTAGCCTGTTAGCTGCTGGCTAACGGTGACCGTCTGAAAGACGGAAAAGCGTCAGAAACTGAGGGTCATGAGTAACTTCTGCTCTTCTCAGCACATAATGAGTCTGTTTATGAGCCGCAGATGATGCCGGAGCGGAAATAAATCAAGCTGCTCGGTTTGTTTCTGCTGAAAGTCAGCTGAGAGGAATGTCAACAAACCGCAGCTCCGCTACGGAAGCCTGCAGAGGACAGTCAACACGCAGCTGCTTGAAATATGAAAGTACCCTTTTTATATATAACTTTTAGTTCATTTACCATCTTAGTCTGTAAATAAGCATAAATATAAAAATACAAGCTATATGTAAAACTATCAGTTAAAGTATTTTTAAAGAGACAACTATACCTCAAGTTTTAAGCTGCTTGTTGTTTCAAGTTTTGTGTTCTTGGTTTCAGAATATTGTTGATAATTGAACAAACTCTCTGATCCTCTTTTTTAAAATGTACAAATATCCAACTTTACTTGAAAAAAAAACTCTGGATGATACCAGTTGTTCTGAAACATAGTAATAGTTTTCTGCATTGATCAGAGCTTTCCTGATGTGTCAGTGCACCCCCATACCATCAGAGAGGCAGGCCTTTGAACTGTGATAACAGACTGGGTGGTCCCTCTCCTCCTGTACAGAAGATGAGGGGATTGTACAGTAT